TGGAGTGTTGGCTGTATATTTGCTGAGTTGGTGAATATGCAGCCACTGTTTCCCGGGACATCTGAGTTGAATCAATTGAAAATGATATTCCAGCAGTTGGGTACGCCTTCCGAAAATGTGTGGCCCGGCTACAGCGCATTGCCACTGACAAGCGAAGTTATATTTGATCAACATCCACCGGGCGGATTGCGCAAAGAGATAAAGCGGAGTCTACTCTCGGATAGTGGTTTATCTTTATTGGAACAATTTTTGATATATGATCCGTCACGACGCTTGACAGCAACCGAAGCGTTGCTGCATCCTTACTTTGATGAGCAGCCTGTGGCGATCGAACCAGCCATGTTCCTGTCGTCGCTAGAGTTGGAATACGTCGACCTGTACGACGACTACGACATGGACGACGACGTGCATTCGTCTGGGTTTGAAACAGAAGAATATAACTCCTCGTACTCAGGTTATCCCGTTGGTAGCTCAGAGTACAATGACGACACGACGTAATAATGACTTAAATAAATGTTAAGGTCTCATCATTTGAAAAATATTGCAAATATTGGCAATATTGGCAAGCCACAGCACGACCACCTCTGGGGGCAAGCGCCATACCATCGGTGCCCCAAACCAGTGACGGTTTCGGCCTCCCGTGAGACCTGGTTGCCCCGACCGAACCACCGGACGCTACGTGAATGTTCCACCCGCCCGCTCACGGGCGGGAGCCTGCTGCTCGCGCCGGCTAAGCACAGCCCTTAGCGGCGCAATCCATCGGCACTTGGCACCATATCGGGCCTCGCAAGAGGCCTGACTACTCCAACACCTCGCTTGCAGTCGCAGGCAGCGATTATATATCGCCAGAACAGGCATCAGCCTGGATCGCGCATCCTCACTCCTGACCCAGTCAGGAATGGTGAGACAACTCGGGCGGGGACGTGCACACTTAAAGTTTGGACTGCGGACAGTGACTACTGACTACACATTGTGAAGTGAAGTGATTGGTGAACGTTTATAGATAATAGTGAATTCTGTACATATTTTCAATGTATTTATCACTATATTCCCTATGGTTGACTGTCAAAGAATGTATTAAGGCTTAAGTCCGCCATTCACTGTTATCTTTTGTAAAATAAATATATTGCACAAAAAAGTTACGAATTCGCGAATGTCAATAATAGTTTATAAATTTAAAATATACTGTGCAGTTATGTCTGTGTGTAATAGTATTTAAGTAAGATTCCAATAGTAGGTAATTCAATACTTTCATTCTAATGTAGACAATCTAGTTTCCTTATGGCATCGAACATTTCTTTCTTTATTGAACCAAAGAGTTTTCTTCCTCTTGTATAGAAGCACTATTTTTATGGATTGTCAGTATGCATATGTGAGCACCATGATAGACTATAAGATTGTTTTTGTTTTGTTTTTTATTTTAGCAAGTTTTGTAATTTGTATAATGCGTTAAGCGTGTCTTTGCATTGTTCTCACATATACGTACAGTATGTATGTATCAGATAAATTGTAGAACATACTTTTTAAAAAGAGTAACGTATGGAGTTTCTTGCTCGTTCTTCTCCATTCGAATCTACATTTTGGAATGAGCACCTAGCTTCACCTAGCTTCACTGGTGGGCTGACTGACAGAATATTATTTATTTTGTATTTGTTGACGTTTCAATAGTACCAAATTATGGTTTGGAAATACCGGATAATAATATTGCTACTGTAAATATATATTACTTTTTTCTTATATTGTATTGTTTAAAATAAATGCTTTGACTTATTGACAGTGTAATTTAATGACGTAAGCTGTAGTATTGTATTTGTAAATTTGCTGAGTACATAAATAAATATATGTAATGCTGTGTATAACATGTTTATAATGATTCATAATGTAATACCAAGTGTAATTAAGTGATTTTAAATAATTTATAAAACAAAGATGAAGATTAAATAAATTAGGTAATGAATGTTGACGATAAATTGAGTATTGTAATAATTATGTTAATCGAATATATAGACCCTTTATATGATAAATAAAAATAATTGATTGTATGCAATAATGACATGTACTATATATAAATAATTTGCACGCTTGCTTGCAGGCAGAATATTGTGACTTTTAGGTTGTAAGATCTTTCCTGTAAATCATATTGTATTTCTTGCATATAAGTATTGTGATTTCATTTGATATAGCTCAGTTTGTTGCAAATTATTGTAATACTTTTGTAAATGAGAAATTAGTATAAAATAAATATTTGCTTTAATAATTTCAATTATGGTTTTTAATTGTTCCTTTTCACAAATTCTAAGAACATAAATTTGTACAGTAGGATCTTGCAAAGGTTTTGACAGAAGTAAATTTATAGGAAATACACCAAAATTATACATACGAGAGATTACAGAACTTGAGATCGGAATAATAAAACAACTTATAGAGTACATTTCTCAATAACAACACACACTTTAATATTTACAAATAACCTACAATTTTATTAATTAATAATAATCACAGCTTAAAGTTATTATCTTCGCTTATAACTATTGATATTACTTAAGTTAGTGTTGGATTCAAAATCTAGATGGCGCTTAATGAAAGAAAGTTAATTGAAATAATACCTCTCTTATTATGGACATGTAATGAGAATTGGTGATTATCATGTGACAAACCGAACATACATTACTAGAGACCGGATAATATGCAACATAAAAAGCTTGAAATATGCATGCAAATATGCATGAAAAATCCCTAAAATATGCACGAAAACTGACAGAATATGCAACATTAAATGAGTTTTTTTTTTGTTTTGTAAATATTATTCCTTTAGATTTAAGTATTTTGCGACGTGAACACTTGTCTTGACATGTTGGTCTATTTGAAACTTTTTAGTGCACGAAATGTTTTTCTCGCAAACTCGACAATATAAAACATTTCCGTCGTAAGTAAATGTTCCAGGAAATTCACTTATCCACGAAGACACCCTTTTTTTT